GATTGGCGGGGAATAACATGCATTACCAGAGAAGCATGAGCTACTGCTCTTCACCTTCCTCCTGCCAGCCGTTTGCAGTGCTTCCCTAAAAAGGGCCATGGATTCATGTTTTCCTCTAGGTTTTCCAGTATGGGTCCAGTATGAACCAATTCAGATCTTCAGGAAGAGTAAAGGTGAACAGAAATATATTTCTTTCTCCTTGCATTTTGAAGGCCAACCTCATTTCAATTATGAAAAGAAAGAATGTTGGGGAAGTTACTTTGAAAAGGAGGGCAATTGACCTGGATTACGAGTAGTGATAAAATATTAGTGATAAAATAAGGAGATGTGTACGTTTAAGCCTGCAACCTGTGCGTTGTGTGTGTTTGTGACACAGAAAATTCTCATGTACATCAGACCCAGAAAATCTGGATTCAATTCCTTAAAATATACAGAATTTTAAAATTTTCATTATTCTATTATGTTTGAAGATTTTCTTTTTTTTTTTTGAAGGGCTTTTATACTTTTAAAAATTTTTTTTTTTTTTTTATTCTATTATGTTTGAAGATTTTCTTTTTTTTTTTTGAAGGGCTTTTATTTTTAATGTAATTTCTTATTTATTCAGAAATGTTTTAGAGCCTACAGTTGTAAAGTTCTATAGTATTACTGTATATTAGAGAATCATAATTCATAGAAATAAAGTACAGAGGTGAAGAACTACTTTGTAGATGACAAAGAATTTTCCAAGTTGAACTTGTTTTGCTTCTTTTAAATTTTTATATCTCCTAATTCTACTGGTTACCTACTTGTTATGACTGGGTAGTATAACTGCAAAAGTTTAAGTTAAGGAAACAGAAGTATAGCTTATCTCTTCTAAATTGATACATTTTGAGGGGTCAGTTTCTCTTTTTTTGACTGACTTTCAGATGAGAATGCTTGTCCTCCTTCTTCCCCCAGGAATTTACCCTGCTCCTTTTTAAAAGCATATTGAAATACCCAGCATGTATAATGGTCTCATAGTGCTGAATTCCTTTTTGGAACCATTGGGTGCTGTTGTTTTCAAGTTTGAGCAGCGAAGGCCCTTTTTGTGGTTGTAGCCTGTACCCCAGAGATAGGAGTTGGTCCTTCTCGCCTGCTTCTAAGCCTTTCCCTGCATGCTAATGATGCTTTGGATCCCTGTCCTTTCTGGCCCAGAGATTTCCCTTCCTGTTGCTTTTTCCAGGGAGCTCTCTGGTTAGTTCTGGCTCTGGAAATAATGATTGGCACTTTCTTGCTAATATGATGACATGAGCTACCAGATCACTGGATTTTAAATAAAATATTAGTAGGCTGTTGTAACAAGCAAGTTTGGGGCTTGCTTTTTCCTCTCAAGACCTCAGTAAGGGTTGGGATCCATGCAACAGGTCAGTAGCAGAAAGGCTGTTGCTTATGGGATGAGAGGCCAGATGACTTGGACTGACACTCTTGCTGTTTCCCACAGGCTCCTACCCAGAGATTCTGCCCAGTGAAACCCCCACAGCAACGCAGGTAGACGGGGCTGACCTGGCCTCTCCAATGTCTCCTCGAACTAGCAAAAGCCGCATGTCCATGAAGCTGCGTCGTTCCTCTGGCTCGGCCAATAAGTCCTGAGGAGACAGGCCGCCCAGCAGCAGTCAGCAGCAGCCACGTTCGCACGAGCAGAGTGTTACACTTGCAGGCCTTCGTGTTTGCCACAACATGCATGTTCCTTCCTGCACATTTATTTTAGAAAACACTGGATTTAAATAATTTGTAACTTAATATTTTAGATTTGGTTTGTTTCTTCAGTTGGTTTTTTTCCCCACACTCCAAGCTGCCATATTTGGGGGGGTGGAGTTTTATTCTACACCCTTTACCTTCCTAGATAATTATGTCTGTGTAGTTTTACTTTTAATTTCATGATTAACTTTGAGCCAAAATATAATTGGACAGATAGTCTCGTTATTTTATTTATCGTGCCCCATTGCAACTTTATGGCTCAGTAAATATATAATTTTTTTTACACATGTAAATTTTTAAATTTAAGCATTTGTAAAGTTATAGCAAATGTTGCAAATCTGTTAATACACAGAATGTGTATGGATTATTTATGTTATGAAAATAAAACACTTAAAATAAATGGTATTGTAGTATTTCAAATTCCAACTCAAGTAATTAGCATTAACTTTTTTTCCCAAAGCAACACCTCCTTTCTTGGCTGTGCAGGCGATGCCATGACATATCTAATAACCAGGAAAATCACTGTGCTGAACTTTGATTCATGTTTAGCTTCCAAATATTTTTCTAATGTTTTGCTTTTTAAATGGTATCACTGTTAAATGCCATTTCTCTTTTGAAAGTGTGGCCCTTTATTATTGGCTTCTGGATCCTGGTGTATCTGTGTTCTTTCTTTAAGTACCAAAAAGGGGGGAATAAAAGGGGAGAAAGAAAAAAAAAAAGGAAAAAGCTTTTCTGACATAAATGTGTTGCTTAAATTATGTGTATTATTTTAAAAGAAAAGGAAACATGACCCAGGAGTATAAATTAAAGCTAATATTGTTAATACTGAACTTGCAGATGCAGGTTGGTATACATTCCACTCCCCAGAAGTATTTTCCTACAGTAGATAAGCTGCTCTTATTTTGCTCACATTTTGTTTTAAACCGGCATCTCCTGAGGAAATGTAGCATGACCTTGGTACTAACTGCATGTGTAAATACATCATACCGGCAAACTACAAAATATAAATTATGTATCATCCTTCATGTAGTATCTACAAATTTGTAACAGTGAAAAAAAAGATATGGTATTTAATAATACAATAAAAATATTCTTGTCACTTCCTGTCCATGAGTGTTTATATTTGTCTTACATATATTTTCAGACTTAATAAGCAGAGCTATGTGATTAATGGAGAGATGTAAAGCATAGACCTAGGTTATCTTTGCTAATCATGAAAAATGAATTTGAATTCCCTTCTTAGGATACACCCTACCTTATTTCTCAGAGATCCCACCACAGCTATTAAAAATGCAGGAAATTTTACACCTTCCTAAGGGCTGGCCAGAAACTTCACTCAGTGCACTTGGTTAAAGCATCAGTTTATCTCAGCCTCAGGCTTCTTTGATTTCTTAAATTTCACTTTGTCGTTTTATAATAAACATTCAGGAACAAAACTTTTTATAGACAGTTTCTAAAACAACCTTTTAGAGTTTTTGTGCGCTCAAGTTTTTGTTTTCTTATAAATAAAAGCAAATACCTATGAAACTATGTAGAAAATAAACTAAAATTCCTATGAAAGCTCATGCAGAAGATAAACAAATGGATAAAGAGAGTCCCTGAGAACAAGATTAAACAATATAGACAGTTTCCCACAATCAAGGTGAAGAATTACAAAACGGAAAATCAGTGTAACTGCTTACATGTTTCTGTAGTGCTTTCACTTTAAAAAACTGAACAGCTAATGGATTGATGATATGTAACAAAATGGAGTGAACATACCCACTTGAAAACAGTGAAGTTAATTAGCACAGTTAACATGATTTTTTTCATCTTCAGATAACACTATTCACTAGCTTTTTTTAAAAAAAGTATATTTAAAATACATTTTCTGTTGACATTTTTGGGTGGTAAAGTGTCTTTAAAGACTAATACATATTCTTCACCTTTTGGAGCTCAGTCCGTGCAGCCATACTTCAAAGGAAATTTTCCCATTGCATTTCTGCACCATTACATTCATTTACAAAATATAATTTCTCCTGTCTGTATTTTGTCTAAATGGGTCACTAAGATTCTAAAGTAGAATTTATTTCACATATTTGGGGAGATGATAAGAAATGTGGCTTTGAAAAATAGGCTGTGTTCAATAGGATTCTTAAGACAAACACAACACAACAAAGCACCAGCCGTGGACATTTATTTGGTGGTCAGCATCTTACAAATATGGGCTATCTGTCAAGCAAGCCTCAGCCAGGGTCCCAAAGTCCGGCTGTGAGGGCATGGGCACAGAATGTACACTGAATGAGGTTTACAAAAATTTGAAAACAGGTTGCTGCAGGAAAGAAAATACTGAATATTGAATGAGTTGCCATTCAGTTCCATAGTGGATTATAGGTATTAACATCTTCCTTAAGCTGAAAGTAGTTTCATATATAATACACGGATGAGATTCACAACAGAAGCATTAAACAATTTGGATGAAACCCTACTAAAACAGTCAAACTTCAGGAACTGAGTTCTATATTTCCAAAAAGCTATTATTTAAAGAAAGGTTTAAAGTAGCTCTTCCTGAATACTGCACACAAAATAGCTAAAGATGAGAATTTCGGAGGTATCTCAATTCCTTCCAGTAAAGTAGCACCCTCCCCACCTCCAAACACTAACTTAAGAATGGACTGATACTTATAATTGAGACAAAGAAAGTTTACAGGGAGATCCCCACATCCCCCCAAAGCACAAACATCCTCTTGTATTTCCTGCCCACAGACACAGGTCTTGGATCTTCCCCCCGCCCCTGTAAGTTTGGCACCAATCACGTAACTTTTAATTCACAGAATATACAATGCAAGATATCTGACCCTATTGAGACAGAAACTACATAGGCGCCTGCGATGGCAAGGGAAAAAAAACATTGACTACCACTTTCGGTAGCTAGAATCCTTTGTAGACATTGAGACATGCATGCGTGCACTGCGACTTTCCATAGGAATTACAAGTCATATAGGATTCGTTAGGGTCTCCAGAGTTTGGGGGGGGCAATCCTATTTTCGTGGGGAAAGTGAGAAGGATTGAAAGCTGACAAGTCCTTGACCGCGAACGTTTACACCACATACATACCTGCTCTAGACAGGGAGTTTACATTTCGCTGTCCGCTCCTCTGGCGGAACACTGACTACTGGGAGTTTTAGGAGAGAACATGTAGGAAGGAAAGGGGGTAACCTTGCAAGCTGAAGAAAGCCCCACAGAAATTCCCATGTTCTGTTTCCTCCAAGGCCAACCTCGCGATCTTCCTGGTCTCTCGGCCCTCAGCAGCCGGGCCGCAGAGGCATCTGCAGCAGCAGCACCTGCCGACTCTCCGAGGGGTGGCACTTATTGATGTGCCGGGTCAGCCCCGGGGAGCTGAAAAAAGTGGACGGGCAGTGCTTGCACGAGAAAATTTGCTGAGCACCGCCGTCGGATGCGCCGCCTGGGCTCGGCGCTTCGGGGGGCGGCCCAGCCAGGGCGGGCAGGAGCAGCTCCTCGCGGACCGCGTGCCACAGCCGGTGCTTGTCCCTGATGTCTGCGGAGGGGAAGTGCGCCCCGCACAGCGGGCAGGCGAAGGCGAGCGGGGCGGCGCGCTCGGCGCCAAAGCCCGGGGCGAGCGCGCGGGCCGAGCCCGCCTCGTGAGTGCCCAGGTGCTTGCGCAGATAGGCTTGGCGACGGAACTTTTTATGGCAATACGGGCACACGAAGATCTCGGGTCCCCCGACACCACTGGCACTGCCCGGCCCGGGCACCCGGCGCCCCAACACCGCTTCCGTGTAAGGGACCTGAGGCCGCGGTGGCTCGGGGTGGGACAACACCTGGAGGCCCGGGTGTGGGGCGCTGTCCCGGTGCTGCTCCGCCCCGGAGCTGTCCCTGGCCTGCAGGTGCTGATCCACAGTTCGCTCGGCCCGGCTGTTCTCCTTGCCCTCCGCCAGGAAGGATGCGATAGTCCCGGAGTCCGGAGAGGACGAGGGTGCCGGAGGAGGCGGCTTCCCGTCGGCTGAGGACACGGGGGCGGCATTTGCGGCTGCAGGACGCGGCTTGTGCCAGCGGCGATGGGAGGCGAGGTTGGCGGGGCAGCTGAAGACCTTGTCGCACTCGGGGCAGCGGTACTCGACGCGCACGATGCGGGAGCAGCGGTGCTGGGCGAGCGCGAAGGGGTCGGCGTACTGCTCCTTGCACAGCTGGCAGATGAACTCCCCCAGCGGCGTGCGGCTGCTCCCCGGGCCCCGGGACGGCGCTCCGGGCTCCTCCTCCTTGATCTTCAGGCCCAGGACTGGGGATGTGGTCACTTCATCGGCGAAGCTCAACTTCCTCATGGCCTTTGGCTTCTTGACTCCGGCGGCCGCGGGCGCAGACGCGCAGCCGGGAGGTGCCTTGGCGCGGCGCTCGGCGCCGGCGGCCCGCTTCAGGCCGTGTAGGGCGGCCGAGAGGGGCGCGGGGTCCGGATGCAGCGCGGGCTCTGGGAACGGTGCCCGGAGCGGCAGCAGGAACTGATCCCCCGAGGTCGGGGCGGCTGCCGGCGCCACCGAGCAGGAGAAGGCGGCCACGGCGGCGGCGCCCCCTGGAAAGGACTCGGCGGAGACGGGCGAGCCGAGGCAGCGCTCCAGGAACGCCCGGCGCAGCTCCGCGCCCGCCGGCTTCGCGAGGCTGGGGCAGGGCCCGGGCCCCGGGCCCTCCCTGCCATCCGCCCTCCGCTCTGCGCCCTCCCGCGCGCCCACCCCCGGGCTCACCGCAGCGGCCCGACAGGGCGACCCCGACAGTTGGCGGGCCGCGTCCTCCTCCAGCCCCTTTCCGGGCTCCTCCGGCGTGGGGGGCGCCGCCCGCTGCGCCCCGGGCTGGGAGGCACGGGGAGCCTCCTCGGGGAAGGGCGGCGCCCCCTCGGGCCCCAGCAGGGGGAAGGCCCGCTCGGCTCGGCGCGCTCGGTACGAGCCGCTCGTCCGTTTCGTCCGCTTTACCAGGAAGCCCCTCGGCATGGTAGAGCCGGGAGCGCTCGGGGGCG